GAAGGATCGCCGGAGCCCAGCAGGTTGAGGCTGCGGTGGCCGGGAGCAGCCACTGCACTCCAGTCTGGGCGACGGAGTGAGACTCCAACTCAAAAAAAAAAAAGAAAGTTCAAATGTGTCCACAAAGTGGTCCCAGGCTGGAATGCTTGGACCTGGAGGAAACAAATACAAATCTTCATTGCACAGGTCTCAAAGGATTCCACAGATAAAACAGGATTTCCAAAGACGAACATGAGCACCCACAATACAATTTGAATATACCTGAGGAAACAAGCCACCATGAGTGAGACAACAGAAACTACAAAGAAAACAATGAAACCCATATGGACTTTAGATACTGGAATTACTGCTTACAGAATATAAAATAAGTTTATTTCAACTATTTAAAAAAAATTTTTTTTTTCAGTTGGAGTCTCACTCTGTCACCCAGGCTGGAATGCAGTGGCAGACTCACAGCCACCACAGCAATCCTTCCATCTCAGCCTTCCAAGTAGCTGGAACTACAGGCGCATGCTACCATGCCTGGCTTATTTTTTGATTTATTATAGAGACAACTCACCAAGTTGCCCAGGCTGGTCTCAAATCCCTGAGCTCAGGCAATTCTCTTGCCTCGGTCTCCCAAAGTGCTGAGATTACAGGCTTGAACCACCGCACCTAGCCTTATTTTTTATTTTTTTGAGTCAGAGTCTCACTGTCACTGTCGCCCAGGCTGGAGTGCAGTGACACACTCACAGCCACTGTAGCTACAACCTGCTGGGTTCAGGAGATCCTTCCACCTCAGCTTTCAAAGTAGCTGAAACCACAAGTGTGCACCACCATGCCCAGCTAATGTTTTATTGTAGACATGAGGTCTCATCAAGTTGTCCAGGCTGTTCTCGAACCCCTGGACTCAGGAAATCCTGTCACCTCTGCATCCCAATGTGTTGGGATTACAGGCATGAGCCACCAGTGCCTGGCTTATTTCAACTAATTTTTTCTTTTTTTTTTTAGTTGGAGTCTCACTCTGTCGCCCAGACTGGAGTACAGTGGCTGCTCCCGGCCACCGCAGCCTCGACCTGCTGGGCTCCAGCGATCCTTCCGCCTCAGCCTTCCAAGTAGCCAGAACTACAGGTGGGTGCTACCACCCCGGCTAATTTTTGATTTATTGTAGCGATGAGGTCTCACCAAGTTGCCCCGTGCGTCATAAACCCGAGGGCTCAGGCAATCCACTCACCTCCGCCTCCACCTCCCAAAGTGCTGGGATTACAGGCTGAGCCACCGAGCCTGGCCTATTTCAATGATTTTTAAAATTAAAGCTGGGCACAATGGCTCACACCTGTGATCCGACCACCTAGGCTGAGGAGGGAGGGTTGCTTGAGGCCAGGAATTCAAGACCAGCCTGGGCAACACAGCAAGATCCCATCTCTACAAAAAATAAAAATAAATTAGCCAGGCATGATGGTGCACACCTGTAGCCCCAGCTACTCAAGAAGCTGAGGTGCAAGAATCATTTGAGCCCAGAAGTTTGAGATTACAATGAGCTATGACTGCACCACTACACTCCAGCCTGCACAACAGAGAGAGACCCTGCATCCAAAGGAGAGGAGGGGACGGGAGGGGGAGGGAAGAGGGAGGAGGAGAGGAGAGAAGTTAGAAAATGCAAGTAAGAAAAAAGATACTATTTTTTTTAAATGACCTAACAGTTTTGAAAATGAACCAAAGAGAACTTCTAGAAAGAAAGGATAATTTCTTAACCAATGTTTGGGTTAAACAGAAGACTACATGCAGCGGAAGAGAAAATTAGTAAACTGGAAGACAGATCAAAAGAAATTACTGAGAATAGCCAGAAGAGAGGAAAAATGAAAGACAGTTTAAGAGACACAGGGATAGATTGTTAAGGTCTACCACACCACAATGTGAATTCCAGGAGAGAAAAGAATTAGTATATAATGAGATAATGGCTGAAGATGTTCCAGAATTGATTAAAGACAAGATTCTTCAGATTAGAAAGCAAATTGAATACCAAGCAGAATAAGTAAAATAAATCTTCTCAAACACATCAAAGTGAAACTGCAGAATACGAGACAGAAAGCAACTAGAAAGAAGACATTTCCTACCAAGAATCAAGTATTAATTTCATAGCTATACTTCTCAACACCAACAATGGGTTCCAGTCAACAATGGGATATTTTCAAAGTACCAAGAGAAAATAACCAAACATAGAAGTGTACAACTAGCTAAATTATCAAGAACATGGGGTAAGAGTGAAATAAAGATATCAAACACAAACAAATGTTACCAACAACAGGGGCCTACCAAAGGAACTCCTTAAAAGATATAGTTCAGAAGCTGGGCTCAGTGGCTCAGCCTGTAATCCCGCACCTTTGGGAGGCTGAGGTGAGTGGATTGCCTGAGCCCATGGGTTCGAGACCCGCCTGGGCAACTTGATGAGCCCTCATCTCTACAATAAATCAAAAACTAGCCGGGCGTGGTAGCGTACGCCTGTAGTTCCAGCTACTTGGAAGGCTGAGGCTGAAGGATCGCCGGAGACCAGCAGGTCAAGGCTGCGGTGGCTGGTGGAGTGAGACTCCAACTCAAAAAAATAAAAATAGAAATAAATAAAAAAGATATAGTTCAGAAGGAAAACAATCTCAGAAGGAAGGTCTGAAATGTAAGAAATCAGATTGATAGCTAATATCTACCATCTGATCACTGATTAGGACAATCCTGAAGAGCATACATTGTGTCACCGACTACCAAACCCTACATTCAACTACTGGCTAGTAATGTATTTTGTAAGTTTGGGGGACAATACAGATAGGTGCTAGTCACTTCACCCCAATTTATCTCCATATCATTATCAATCAGTATAAATTATCAAAATGTAGATAAGTAGTTCTAATGAGTATAATATCTGGCTGGAATAACAGTAGATCTTTCCAGTTACCAAACAATATACTATCCCAAAGATCTAGATAAATAATGTAAGTTCTTGGAAGAATGGCTAAGACACACACACAACACACACACACACACACACACACACACACACGCAGGCTCTCTCTCTCTCTCTCTCTCTCTCTCTCTCTCTCGCTCTAATCTGATGCCCTGCTACTACCCTTAGTTGAGGTAACCAGTTTCTCTATTCTTTGCATCAAAAAGAACCTAACACAATAGAAAAATGTACCATAAAAGTGGTACAAATACTGGAACTATTGGTCAGAAAACAGTACCTATTGTTTTGGTCTTAAACAAAAAAGAATATACACAGAATTTAAAAAATAAAGTGTTTACTCATTGTTTAATTATCCAAAGAAGATAATATAAAGATCAAAACCAGAAATAGTTACAGTAAAAGTGATGTCATCTATGGCCATTTATCAGGTAATAAGAGTCATATCAAAGTTTTCTTCAGTCATATTCTTATTACACTTCTGAATACCTGTATAAATGAGTAAACAGCTGAACCATGCTTTAAGCCACAACCTTAAATACTGTAAATACTGATGAAACTTTGTTGTGATGAGCAGAAGGAAAAATTATATATACACATACCTACACACACTCTTTAAGATGGTAAACAGTACCGTTTTCCCACCTGTCTAATCATATACCAAAATGTCTGTCAATGTTATTGAATTTTAATTGATATGTAATTCCATTTCAATGCTACATTATAAACCCCATAGTGAAAGAAATGTTTTTAAAAAATGAAATTCTGGGCACGGTGGCTTATGCCTGTAATCCCAGCACTTTGGGAGGCAGAGGCGAGAGGATAGCTTGAGCCTGGGAATTTGAGAACAGCCTAGACAACTTGGCGAGATCTCATCTCTACGATAAACCAAAAAATTAATCAGGTGTGATGGCATGTTCCTGTAGTTCCAGCTACTTGCAGGAGGATCTCCTGAGCCCAGCAGGTCAAGGCTGCAATAGCCATCAGCGTGCCACTGCTCTCCAGCCTGGGTGACAGAGTGAGATTCCAACTCAAAAAAAAAAGTGAAACAAGTGAGAAATAAGACTGGTTTGAAATTTTTATAATTTTAAAGAACTCTAATATTTCTGCTTTATGGCATTGGGTTACCTTTTCCAATATTTAAGTCTCAAATACACCTTGAAAAAGAACTGTTTTGATTAGTCAGGCAATACGTGTCAAATTAGAAATGATTTATTCCCAAAAAAACACCAAAATGTTTCAGGAAATTAGGCAAGGATAGTATACATAAATGTTTATCACATCTCAATACTCTCTATATAAAACAAACAATGCCAATACACCGTTCTGACTGTTTTTTTCCCCTTTTTTTTGGGATCCCACTCGGTTGCTCAGGCTGGAGTGTGGTGGCACGATCACGGCTCACTAGAGGCTCAACCTCCTAGGCTCAGGCGATTCTTCTGCCTCAGCCTCCCAAGTAGCTAGAACTAAGACGCATGCCATCATGCCCACCTAATTTTTTGTACAGATAAGGTCTCACTGTATTGCCCAGGTTGGACTCAAACTCCTGGGCTCAAGCAATACTCCTGCCTTGTCCTTCCAAAGCGCTGGGATTAAAGGCATGAGCCACTGTGCCTGGCCTGGCTTCTGTTTTAGAATATGCTTGCCCAAAAGTATTATTTATTTACTTATTTTTCTCATCTCCATAAACCCCTTAGATTAGATTAGATAGATAGATAGATAGATCGATTGATCGATCTATCTATCTATCTATATCTTTTTTTTCCCTTGAGTCGGAGTCTCACTCTGTGGCCCAGGCTGGCCATAACCTGCTGAGCTCAGGCAATCCTTCCACCACAGTCTTTCAAGTAGCTGGAACTACAGGCAAACGCCACCATGCCTGGCTAATTTTTTTGATTTATTGTAGAGACGAGGTCTTGCCAAGTTGCCCATGCTGGTCTTGAACCCCCAGGCACAGACAATCCTCTCACCTCCACCTGCTGGGATTACAAGTGTGAACCACCATGCCAGGCATAAATTTTCATTTTTTAATAAGTCTGTGGCACTTACTTTATTTTCTAATTTTTCCCAAGTATAACAGTAAGTTAAGAACTTTTGTTTAAAAAAATACCTGAACCTAACATCCAGGATCTACAAGGAACTCAATAACTGAAAGAAAAATAAATAAATAAAAAATACCTGAAGATTCTATTTTTTTGTTAATGTGTAACTTAATAAAATATACTGTTTAAAATGACAATCTAAGGTACATTAAGGAATAATAAATTTTTATATTAATAATTCCTTAACTATCCTGTTTTAATGATTTTCTTTGAAACTTGGATGAATGGCTTTAACATTCTCATGAAATTAACATTTAAATAAACATGATTTTCATTCAAATTATTTTATTCTTATTTATAATGTTTTCTCAATTTTTAGCTTAAACTGAAAGATTTCTATTCACAAAATGAGAATATTTGTCTCCATTACATAAATAAATAATTTTTCTATCCCAAATGAAGATAAAGTCACTTCTCACAAAATAAATATTAATTTAACAGAATTAAGTTTCTTCCACTGGCATTTGATGCTTGAGGATTACCAAGGGTCTGTACAATAGAATACTAAGTTTTGGAATTAGCTGAGATCCAAAAATTTCTCTGATAAACAGAATTTTAGCCATAAATGAAAACAAGAGACAAAAGTAATGACTTAATTCTAGAAGAACAGCTCAGTCACAAATGAATAGATCTTATTTAGGTTTATAGAAAGCATTAAAAAAAAACTGCAGAAAACTTATAGGGAAAAATGGCCATATTTACAAACAGTCACCAAGACCCAAGTAGAACACAGGATTGTAATGAGGAGAGTCACAGAACATACTAAAGAGGTATGTATGGTCAGTCCCACTGGAATCTGCAGAGTCACATTCTTAAAAACCTAGAGAGAGAGGGGAATAGAGAAGTTAGAGACATTTAAAATGCATGTCATATGGTGGTTAGCTGCTGAATGACGTTTTGGATCCAACATTTCATTTAATGTTACAGAATCAGACTCAATTCCCATAATAACTTGTTAATTCTCATTAGTTCTGACTTTTTCTGCTTTTTACATAGAGTTAAGCATATTCTTCCAAAGCTATATCCCAATGTCCCCGCTGTGATCAATGTAAACATTTACTTCCCCTTACTCTGTCGCTTTTTTTTTTTTAATGGGAGTCTCACTCTGTCGCTCAGGCTGGAGTGCAGTGGCACCCTCATGGCCACCCCAGCATCAACCTGCTGGGCTCCAGCGATCCTTCCGCCTCAGCCTTCCAAGTAGCCGGAACTACAGGTGTGCACTACCATGCCCAACTAACTATGTTTAAAATTAGAATACAGAATCCTCTCTAAGTTGAAGCCATCAAGAAAAAAACATCAAAACAGGTGTGTACCACCTTGTCTCTATCAGGCAAGGTGGTATGCACCTGTAGTCCTAGCTACTGAGGAGGTTGAGGCAGAAGAATTACTTGAGTCCAGGAGTTTAAGGCTGCAGTGAGCCATGATCATGCCCCTGTACTCCAGCCTAGGCCATAGAGTGAGACCTTGTCTCAAAAAGAATGTCACCTTCAATACACCTTAGTATAGAACACCACTTCAGCCATGGTCACCTATTTTATGGCATATACAAAGACAAAATATAATACAAAGTTTAAAAATATATTTAAAGTACTTAATTATGATCTCTTATTTCAAGTTATATATACATATTTTTTTTTTTCCAGAGTCTTACTGTCACCCAGGCTGGAGTGCAGTGGCACACTCACAGCCACCACAGCCTCGATCTGCTGGGCCCAGGCTATCCTTCGGCCTCAACCTTCCAAGTAGCTGAACCACAGGCAATACACCACCACACCCGGTTAATTTTTTTATTTATTATAGAGACGAAGTCTCACCAAGTTGCCCAGGCTGGTCTTGAACCCATGGGCTCAGGCAATCCTCTTGCCTCCACCTCCAAAAGTGCTGGGATTACAGGCATGAGCCACAGTGCCCAGTCAAGTTACATGGTTTTAAAAAGAGGTGAATTAAATGTTTTAATAGGGTCATAACTTATTTTGTAGCAATGCATCCTACTAATTTTCTACAAGCAGGAAAAAGTGTTTTATAATTTTCTAAACTAATAAATTATAAATAAACACTAAGAACACTCTTCATTCACATTTAAAAAAATCAAATGCAGTCCTCCAGATATATTTTAGGGTTTGAAAAAAAAATTCCAGATACCATATGGCAATGGCAATCTACTCAAAAGCAATTCTATGTTGCATACGACATTTGTACACAGTTATCTCTCTTCCCCATGATCTGTTCAAAGAAAGTTCTCCAATACAAAATAGTAGTGCTTTGTAGTAAGTCTTTATCTAAAGTAGTTGTTTTCTGAGCTAGCTGGAGACAGACCTCTAAGTAACCACAAGGAAATTACTTCAAATCTAAATATCCACAAAAGTATATGTGAATAAATCTGCCTTATGGTTATCTGATGTTATATTATCAGGTATCAGGTATGTTATCTGCTGGTTTGAATTTTAAAGTAGCTAGGTGTGCTGAGGAGGTTGAGGAGGGAGGATAGCTTGAGCCCAGGAGTTCGAGGCTGCAGTGAGCTATGATCACTCCACTGCACTCCAACCTCGGCAATAGGGCAAGACGGTGTCTTTATTTTTTTTTTTTTTAAGTTTTAGCCAGGTTCAGTGGCTCAGGCTGTAATCCCAGCGCTTTGGGAGGCTGAGGTGAGTGGATTGTCTGAGCCCGTGGGTTCGAGACCCACCTGGGCAACTTGGCGAGACCTCATTTCTCCAATAAATCAAAAATTAGCTGGGTATGGTAGTGCGCGCCTATAGTTCCAGCTACTTGGAAGGCTGAAGCGGAAGGATCGCCAGAGCCCAGCAGGTCGAGGCTGCAGTGGCCGCTCTTGCACTCCAGTCTGGGTAACAGAGTGAGACTCCAACTCAAAAAAAAAAAAAAAAAAAAGTTTTAAGTTGTTTTATTTTTGTTTGTTGCGAACTCATCTGACTCCCTATAAAAGTAAATTGTAAAAATGATGAAACATCGTGCTACTCATCTAAGAAAGCAGGCTTTAAAGATAATCAGAAACAAAGAAAAAAATCCACAGTAATGCTATAAAAGTTATCCACAGTTAAAAGGCATAAGAATAAAATTTTAAAAGGAACAAAAGGATGGAGGGGGGAGGGAAAGAGATACACTGTACAAAGCACTCTGAGGAAAGAAAAGTAGACTGTTAACTAAAGAGACTAAGTAGAAAACACAGACTTCTAAAAAAAAGCCAGTGATAATGAAGTATTGATACTATACCCAATTAAATAACTGGAAAAAAGTTGGGAAGGTGAAAACTATAAAAATGACCTGAAACAGCCAGATTTAGTTATAAAATAGCGATACAAATGTTCAGAAACTATCATAGTTGAAATGATACTACTCTGAGTTTTATTTTCCTTTCTTTACTTGCTCTGTGTAATGTAATGAAGTTAACTAATTTATTTTGCTGCTCAAAAACAAAAAGTTGTAAATAAAAATAAAGAGGTTTTTTTTTTTCAGTTGGAGTCTCACTCTGTCACCCAGGCTGGAGTGCAGTGGCACACTCATGGCCACCCCAGCGTCAACCTGTTGGGCTCCAGCGATCCTACCGCCTCAGTCTTCCAAGAAGCCAGAACTACAGGCATGCACCACCATGCCCGGCTAATTTTTGATTTACTGTAGAGATAAGGTCTTGCCAAGATGCCTGGGCTAGTCTTGAACCCACAGGCTCAGGCAATACACTTGCCTCGGCCTCCCAAAATGCTGGGATTACAGGCTGAGCCACCAAGTCCGGCCATAAAGTTTTACTGATAATGGAAAACCAAATGAATGTGCCACTGTTTTTCTTTGTCATTTCTCACCTTTAAAAGCATATGAGGCTGGGTGCAGTGGCTCACGCCTATAATTCTAGCACTTTGGGAAGCCGAGGTGAGAGGACTGCCTGAGCCCACAGGTTCGAGACCAGCCTGGGCAACTTGGCAAGACCTCATGTCAACGATAAATCAAAAAATTAACCAGGTGTGGTGGTGCATGCCTATAATTCCAGCTACTTGGAAGGCTGAGGTGGAAGGATCACCTGAGCCCAGCAGATCGAGGCTGCGGTGGTTGTCAGCATGCCACTGTACTCCAGCATGGGTGGTAGAGTGAGACTCCAACTCAAAAAAAAGGCTTATCAGCTATATTTAAGCTCTGAACCAGTAACATGTGGGACTAAGCCTATATTACCAGCCCCAAATTAAATGATTCTATGATTTTACCCAAATGAGGAAACACTGTTGCCATCAGCAGCAAAGAAACATTAAATACAAACAAACAGAAACTAGCTTTTTAGGTTGGAAAATGCTAAACATTTAAATGTGGCAGAAATATAATAGAAAAAGTTTTAATGAAGCAGCATAATGTAAAAACAACATAAAATATTAGCTTACTGATTTATACTTCATATTTTTCCATTGGCAGATATCACTATTCTTCAAATCACAAGGAGTTGTCACTTCTTCCTGAGCCCAGCATGTCAAAATTGGAAATTCTGAGAAAAGTGGTAGAAAATAATGTCAGAAAAACTGTATTTAGACTCAAGACTAGGCTTGTAGCAAACTCGTTTTTATATATTCGTATATGATTTGGACCCACCTATCACACACTGTTATTTTAGCATGCTTTTTTTTTTGAGTCAGAGTCTCAATCTGTCGCCCAGGCTGGAGTGCAATGGCACACTCATGGCCACCGCAGCCTCGACCTACTGGGTTCAGGTGACCCTTCCACTTCAACCTTCCAAGTAGCTGGAACCACAGATGTGCACAACCAAGCTCGGCAAATTTTTTTGATTTATTATAGAGACGAGGTCTCTCCATGTTGCTCAGGTTGGCTGCAAACCCCTGAGTTCAGGTAATCCTCTTGCCTCTACCTCCCAAAGTGCTGGCATTACAGACTTGAGCCACCGCACCCAGCAGCATGCTCTTTTATGTGAATACCTATGAAATTATAAAATTACAAAAGTATCACAGAAGTCAAATATGACTTAACTGATCCTGCTATACTCAAACTAGGGATCACTCTTTTTAAAAATTTAGTGTAAATTTTTCCTTGAAGTATAGCATGCATTCAAAAAGTGAACATATCATAAGTGTACAACTCAATACATTTCTATATGAAACACCCATAAAGGAGTACTCAGATAAAAAAAGAAACAGAACAATACCTGAACCACCCCATGTTCTGTCAGGAGAGACACTTTTTCAAACTTTATTTAGGGTAGGTAAAAGGTACCATTAATACAATCAGAAAACTAGGTTGGATGAACAAAGCTAATAAAGAGGAATGCTTTTTAATTTTCTTATCATAAAAGGTATGATGATAGCAAACGTTTTTTTTTTTTTAGTTGGTGTCTCACTCCTTTGCCTAGGCTGGAGTGCAGCGGCACGCTCACGGCCACCCCAGCCGACCTGCTGGACTCTGGCGATCTTCCACCCCAGCCCTCCAAGTAGCTGGAACTACAGATGTGCGCTACCATGCCCAGCTATTTTATTTTTATTTTATTATAGAGATGAGGTCTCGCCAAGTTGCCCAGGGTGGTCACGAACCTGCGGGCACAGGCAACCCACTCGCCTCGGCCTCCCAAAGTGCTGGGATTACAGGCTGAGCCACCGAGCCTGGCTGCAAATATATTATTAAAACTTCCCATCTGCTAGTTTTTAGTTGCAGTGCTTTACTAACTTTTATAAACACTCTAAGTCAGCCCTTATTTGGAGACACAAAGAACCAAAATCTGAAAGGGACTTAACAAACTAAAGAAGTCTTGATTCCTAGAAGATTTCAAATAGCTAAAACATAGTTTAATTTATCCAAATTGCCATATAAAAACAGAAAGAACAATTACACAGCAAAACCAAAAACTCAAAGGTGAAATTTACAACAAAATCAGATGATAAAGTATACTCTCAAACACCAAAATACACACAAGTGGAAACAAAACACCAAAAGCCACAAAGTCCTGCAATACCAGTATGAAAAAAGAGAAAGCAGTAAAGGGGCAACCTGGATCAATGGCTGTAAAAAGAAATATGTATTTTTTTTTTTTTTTTTTTAGTTAGAGTCTTACTCTGTCACCCAGGCTGGAGTGCAGTGGCATGCTCAAGGCCACCCCAGTATCAATCTGCTGGGCTCAGGATCCTTCCCACTCAGTCTTCCAAGTAGCCGGAACCACAGGTGTGTGCTACCACGCCTGGCTAATTTTTTAATTTATTGTAGAGATGAGGTCTCACCACGTTGTCTGGGCTGGTCTCAAACCCCTTGGCTCAGGCAATCCTCTCACCTCAGCCCCCCAAAGTGCTGGGATTACAGGACTGAGCCACTGCACCCAGCCAGAAATATGTATTATATGCCTGATAGTTTATGCCTACTAATCAAAGAACAAGGTACCACCTATAGTCTTGTCAAAGGATTCAAAACTGATTCTGATCATGCCTCTGGAGTCAGCTGCCAATTTCTAGGAAACAAAGAAGCAAGAGGAACTTGATGAACTGCATCATGAGTATAATCAGCAAAACCCCAACTAGGAGAAACTCTGCAGGTCAAATGACCCAGGTTCTTTCAACAGATCAGTTGAGAAAAAAGAAAAGGGACAGAGGGAAACCTGTAAATTAAGAGACTTAATGGAAATAACAGATTTTTATAACTGGACCAGACTCAAGTCTAGAGTGTCTCAGAGTGCTCATCTAGGTGATAAAATAATAAAGAAATACAAGGAAGTGATTAAAATTCATTACTATACTGAGTTAGTCTTAGGAAGGAAGGAGGAGGCATGACTGGGACAGAACACATCAAGTTGCTGCTAGGGTGGCTGGCAAAATTCTGTTTTTTTTGTATTTTTGTTTTTTGAATTGAAGTCTCACTCACTCTGTTGCTCAGGCTGGAGTGCAGTGGTGTACTGGGTTCAGGTGATCCTTCTGCCTTGACCTTCCAAGTAGCTAGAACACACAGGTACATGCCACCCACACCCAGCTAATTTTTTGATTTACTGTAGAGATGAGGGCTTGCCAAGTTGCCCAGGCTGGTCTCGAACCTGTGGACTCAGGCAATCCTCTAACCTTGGCCTCCCAAAGTGCTGGGATTATAAGCGTGAGCCACTGTGCCCAGCCAGTTCTATTTCTTGACCTGGGAAGAGGTACAAGGAAGTCTTTGCTTTATAATAATTCACTAAACTATGTATTTGTGTAGTTTTTCTACATCTGTACTTTGTTTTACAATCAAAAAATTAAAAAGAAAAAAGAAACTGCTTTTGTCATTCCTGTCCTTGACTGCAGATTTGCTATTATACTTTTATTTTTATTTCCAAGTCTCAGAAAACATTGGCAACCTCACCTTGGTCACAATACATCAACAAATCTGGGTTATTGACCACAACAAAGGTTTCGCCATCTTTACTATGTGGCCGATGATAGCGGTAGTGCACAGGCAAAAAGGCTTGGAAGCAATCACTGCATTGTGAATCTTGTCTGGCATAAATGAGAACTTCAGATTCCTTGGACAAATAGTTAGGGGCTTCTATATTAAAATTTTCTGAGACCATCACTGCCTGTCAAAAAAAACCCAAATATTAATCAGTAAGAAGAAATGAATGAAGATTAAAAAAACACAAAAACAAAATTAAAACCAAAAGACTGCTATACAGATACACAGAAATGTTAAATTTACCCCCCTTATAAACAATTTCCATTCCCCTTCCATCCTCAATCTTAAGTAGAAAGCAAAGGATATGATCTGTGTTTAATAAAAGTACGTTTACTAACAGTAAACTGGGGAAATTACACTCTGGGATGCCAAATTTCCCCATAATAAAAATTATTTGTGATATTTTCTTATTAGTCTCTGCTTAGGTGACAACACAGGTACCAAGAAAATAGAAATTTTGTGATTAAATATATTATTATTCAATAAGTATGAAAACTATTATGACAAAAACAGTTAAACCTGCATTGAGTTAAAACGATTGGTATCATTCTGGTAATTTCCTGTTCTTCAAAGAAATGAGATGGCAGTGAGTAAGACAGAGCACTGTGGTCAGGAAGACAAAGCAAGGTCAGCACTCTTTCTATGGTAGGTACAAAAAGTTAATGGAAAAAATGGTAAGCGATTCTTTAAAAAATAATATGGTTAAAAACCATTTAAAAATAAGTATTCTACACAAAAAATAAAAATGTACATGTGGCAGAAATTAGCCCTGAGTTATAATGTGTATATTCATTTATTATACATAAGCATCCACACATACATACATATTAGTGTACATATATATACAATACAGGTTTTATATACACAATCTATGTGTATATGGATGTAAACACACACATACATAACTTCTCTTCAGATTCTCTATGCAAAGTCTTGATATACCTCAGAGGATCAAACCACATTAACTCCTTCCTTTTCCAGTAAGCACCTGAATTTTTCTCTGACAGTGATACCAAGTGCCATATACTTTTTCATATGTTGTTCCTTTTCAGTTAATCATAGGAGTAACAGAACTCATTGGCAAAAGTCAAAGAATTACATAATTTCATGAGGGACTTCAGAAGTAATCAAATTAAACCACTATCCCAACAAAGATATTTTTCAGTGTCTAGCCACTGCTTAAATATTTTCAATGCCTGGAAGGAAGTTCATTACTTTGAGTCATCTCAATATGGCGACTCTTAAAAGGTTATTTCTTTTTTATGAGTAGAAACTTTATGTGCTGGCCTATAACATTTAACAGTTATTCTTGCTTTCAATACCTACAATAAATCAGTTCCTAATTCCACTAACGGTCCTTCAAACATGAGAAGGCAGCCATACTGCTACCAAGTATTCTCCTAACCAGTGAAATATTCATAGTCCCCTTGGTTTCTCATGGCATGATTTCCAGATCTTTCATCATATTAGTCATCTTTTGAAATATTCATAGAGTATAGTAGCCATATCACCTTTTTTAGGTAAAACTTGCACCAGCTTTCTGTTAGTCCCATCTCAGTATTAGTCATATATAAATAAGTAATTATATATATATAATAACCAAAGTCCTAGGGAAGACTACTAGCAATCTCATGCTAGAAATTTATTAATGAACTCTCTTTGGGTACAATTACATGAAAAACAAAATGACATGCAGCCCCATTTATATATATATTTCTTAGACTTTATTAGTGTAGTGTCAGGTTTACAGAAAAACTGCAGAAAGTCCAGTGTTCCCATATACCTCCTTACCCCCACCATCACAGTTTTTCCTATTATTAACATCCTGTTTTAATGTGGTACATTTGTACCATTAATGAGTCAATATTGATACATTATTATTAACTAAAGTCTGTAGTTTATGTTAGGGTTCATTTTTTTAGGTTGTACATTCTATAGGTTTTGACAAATGTAAAATGGCATGTATCCACCATTACAGTATCATGAAGAATAGTTTCACTGACCTAAAAATTCTGTGCTCCACCAATTCATTCCTTTAATTTTATTTGAACTTCTTGCAGACATCTTTTAGTACCTCTCATTCTATTTTTTTCGATAATTAATTTCTAATTTTTTTATTAATTAAAGGCAGGGCTTTGGATTTATCTCTATTAAATTTGATCTTTCTGGCTACAGTCTATTTTCAATAAGTAGTTGAGATTTTATTAAAATCTTGCTCTGTCAGTCAACCAGTTACATGTCATTTATAAATTTTTTTTTTTGAGTTGGTATCTCACTCTGTGGCCCAGTTCAGAGTGCAGTGACGTGCTCACGGCCACCCCAGCGTCAACCTGCTGGGCTCCAGCAATGCTTCTGCCTCAGCCTTCCAAGTAGCTAGAACTATAGGCGAGTGCTACCATGCCCAGCTATTTATAAATTTGGTAACTGTGTATTCTATATTTTTATTTAACGATAAAAATCTTGACCAGGAGGGTCAAGAGCAAAGTCCTAGGAAAGACTACTAGCAATCTCATGCTAGAAATTTATTAATGGACTGGGCTCAGTGGCTCAGCCTGTGATCCTAGCGCTTTGGGAGGCTGAAGAGTAGACTGCCTGAGCCCATGAGTTTGAGACCAGCCAGGGCAACTTGGCGAGACCTTGTCTCTACAATGAATAAAAAATTAGCCAGGTGCGGTAGTGCATGCCTATAGTTCTGGTTACTTGGAAGGCTGAGGTAGATGGATCGCCAGAGCTCAACAGGTCTATGCTGGGGTGGCCACAAGTGTGCCACTGCACTCCAGCCTGGGCAATGGAGTGAGACTGCATATCAAAAAAAGAAAAAGAAAAAGAAAGAAAGAAAAGAAATTTTTTTTTTTAATTGGAGTCTCACTCTGTCGCTCAGACTGGAGTGTAGTGGCCGCTCCCGGCCACCGCAGCCGCAACCTGCTGGGCTCCGGCAATCCTTCCGCCTCAGCCTTCCAAGTAGCTGGAATTACAGGCACACGCTACCTCGCCCAGCTAATATTTTTGATTTATTGTAGAGATGAGGTCTCGCCTGCCCAGGCGGGTCTCGAACCCGCGAGCTCAGGCAATCCACTCACCTCAGCCTCCCAAAGACGCAGGATTACAGGCTGAGCCACGGAGCCTTGCTAAGAAATTTATTTATGAACTCTCTTTGGGTACAATAACACGTAGCCCTTTTTTTTTTCTTTTTTCTTCTTCTTATTTTCCTTCCTTCCTTTTTCTTCTTTTTTTTTTTTTTTTTTTTTTTTAAAGACAGGGTCTGGCCATGTTGTCCAGGATGGCCTCAAAGTACTGGACTCAAGGGATCCGCCCAAGTAGCTAGGACTACAGGCATGCACCACTGTGCCCAGCTAGTCCAAATGTTTCTACTCACCAAGTCTAAATATATCATCTGGTAATAACAAAAGTACCTTCTTTAGTGCACCTACTATGTGCCAAGCATTTTACTAAGTGAAGAAAACAAAACAACCCAAACATTTTTAGGGAGGATCACAATCTGATGAGCAAAAGAGATCTGGACAATGGCTAGATATTGGTGAAACTGCCAAATATGTGCCCAAACCACCAACGCAACCCCCAAAAGTCTAATGACTATATGCTGATCTACAAAAAAATTCATAATTCATTATTTCATTTTGCCACAGAAAAAAATAACAAAAGTATGTTAGTAAGAAATTGAAATTATTCATCAAAAATTAATCCTGACCAGGTGTGGTAGCTCATGCCTATAATCCCAGCACTTTGGGAGGCCAATATAGGAGGGTCATTTGAGGCTAGGAGTTTGAGACAAATTCTGAACAATATAGTCAGACCCCATCCCTTAAAAAAAAAAAACAAACGCATGGTGGTTCACTCCTCTAGTGTCAGCTCCTTGGGAGTCTGAGACAGGAATATTCCTTGAGTCTAGGAGGTCAAAGCTACAGTGAGCCAAAATCACATCACGGCACTCCAATCTAGGTGATAGAGACTCTGTCGATTAAAAAAAGGAAAAAAAGGGAAAAAAAGCATATATGTATAAAATAATCCTAAAGCAACCTGCATTGGTTAACAGACATGGACCAATGACAAGTCTCAATATATCACAAACAACCACAGGAAAGTTAAATGAATCGAGCTATGAAATTTGGCCACAACTGTAATACACATCAGATCTTTTCCCCATGGACTAGAGCTCTGTCAAGAAACCAAAACATTCCCCAATTAACAGAGTAATTGGTGTCGTTGAACAATTTATAGTCTAAAAATGTAAAACTGTATAAAAATAAAATGTATAGCCGGGCTCGGTGGCTCAGCCTGTAATCCTGCGCCTTTGGGAGGCTGAGGTGAGTGGATTGCCTGAGCCCGCGGGTTCGAGACCCACCCAGACAACTTGGTGAGACCTCATCTCTACAATAAATAAAAAATTAGCCGGGCGTGGTAGTGCGCTCCTGTAGTTCCGGCTACTTGGAAGGCTGAGGCGGAAGGATCACCGGAGCCCAGCAGGTCGAGGCTGTGGTGGCCGGGAGCGACCACTACACTCCAGTCTGGGCAACAGAGTGAGAATCCAACTCAAAAAAATAAATTAATTAAAATTAAAAATTTTTTTAAAAAGTATAATACTTTTCTCACACTGGAACGCTAATTCTAATAATATATATTTTTTAATGATCAGACTGGCTAAAGATGTATCAGTTTTATTCATCTCAAAGAAACAGCTTTTGGTTTCATTGGTTTTCCTTATGGCTGTTTCTGTTTTCTAGTCATTGATTTCCACTATAATCCTTATTTCTATTCTTCTACTTAATTGTGGATTCATTTGCTCCTCCTCTTTATCTAGTTTCTTAAGGAGGCTTAATTGAAATCACTAATTTGAAACCTTTCTTCTTTCTAATATAGGCATTTAGTGCTATAAATTTCCCCCTAAGTACAGTTTTAGCAGCATTCCAACATCTAATATGTTGTTTTCATTTTCAGTTTAAAAATACCTTATTTCCCTTTTTATTTCTTCTTTGATACATGAATTACTTAGAAGTATATTATTTACATCCCAAATATTTGAGGCTTTCCAGAGATCTTTCTGTCACTGATTACTAACATAATTCTATTGTGGTCAAAGAACTTACTTTGTAAAATATGAATTCC